GGTGAGCCGAGATCGCGCCATTGCACTCCAGCCTGGGTAACAAGAGCGAAACTCCGTCTCAAAAAAAAAAAAAAAAAAAAAAAAAAAAACTTTTATGTAGACATGACTTTACTAAGACTTCATGCTACACAAGGACTCTATGTACCCTCTCATACCTACAACAATAAGCACTGTAGCTCTGTGCACATACTGATGCATCTGTACAATAACCTTCAAAATAGTGGTTTTCTAAGAGCCAGGAGTTGAGGATTTATGTGACTTTTGAACTGGTTTACTGAGTCATCAGGCAAAAAACATAAAGGAAAAGTTATTCTTTCTCTTTTTTTTGAGACAGCATCTCACTATGTTGCCCAGGTTGACCTCTAACTCCTGGGCACAAATGACCTCCCTGCGTCAGCCTCCTGAGCAGCTGAGACTATAGGTGCATGTCATCGTACTCAGCTAGTTATTCCTATTTGCTCACTGGCATGTATTGAGTATCAGCCTATTATGTTCATGCTGGTACAGCCTACGCAAATAGGATGAAAGTATTGGGTAAAAAATCCTCTTGTACTGGATGGCAGTAAAAAGGTATATGTGATCACACAAGTGGGGACTAATTGGCTACAGGTGTCTGAGAGGGCCTTGGGGAAGCAGCAGGAAGCCAGTTTTGAGACTGGGACAATGACTGGCTAACAAGCGTGGACACCAAAACAAGTCAGGTCAGTCAGTTACAGAAGAGATGTATATGTGCAAGCATGAGGTGGGTTTTTTAGCTTTCTCATGTGTGGCCTTAAAATTAAGCTCCAACATCAGAAATAGCATTGGTCAGTAGGACTGGAGCATTTTATACTAACTGAGGAGGTCCTTGGTTGCCACGCAAACTGGCACTGTCTCCTGCCAAGGCCAGAACCCTAAGAAGAAAATGAATGCTGCTGGCAAAAATGTCTTTAAATTACTACTATCTTCACCTCGCCTATGTTTACCACTAATCATTTTTTTTAGTGGTTCATTTTAAGATCTGAAAGTTAAACAGCCATTACCAAAAAATAAAATAAAATAAATTTTCTCCCTAAATTTCCAAGCTTCCTAAAGATACACATATATTCTAGGGACCAATAATTTAGAGCAATTAATAGACTTTTTATTACAGAAAGTTATCAGTGTGTATGGCTTCTTTTAATGACATTCAAAAATAACAACTCTATGTAATTACCAACCTGTATTAACGTAGCCCTCATGAGGAGCTACAAGAAATCTACATGATCATCAAGAGGGAGACTAGAGGACAGAGGAGGTAGGAATGGAGCCCAGCCAGAAAGATGCAGTGAAACTTAATCACTGTAATTTGGATTTTGTCGCTGAGTCCCAGGTACAAGCTCTTTTAAGCACTGTCAAGACATCTCTACATTAATTGCTGTTGCTGTGATTTTAGTTTTTCTATAGCAATGTGCATTTGGTGGCTAAGTCCCCTTTCCTCCAGAAAAGGCAGGCTGCTAAAGCTTTGATTATCCAACTCACTCTGCCAAGATCAACATACCAAAGTCTCAAAACATCCCTACTTACCAGAGCCTAGAAATGAATGTGACTCAACAACTGAGTGGGTGAGAAGCTCTGCCACCCTCCCTGAAAGGCCACATTCTTCTCTTCTCTATTAAGTTTGACTTTCAATAGGAGAGTTATTTCTAAAGGGTGATTTCAATGATTCTGCATTCTTCCAGTTAGAAGCAGAAAATGTAGATAATCCTTTGAAGCCTTCAGGCAGCTCCAGTCAGCACATTCAGATAATATAAACCCAGGTGCTTTTTTCCAGGCAGTTTTGTTGATCCCCTGGGATTTGTTAGATAATGGCATGGCTGCACATTCTGTGCTTTGCTTTCAGGGGCCCAGCTGTGTCCAACCTCACTCCATGGTGATGCCATTTGAGATAAGATCTCTATTATCAACTTTCTTCTGCTATCACATTAGACCAGAGATACATCTTCAGATGGAAGACCATTCTTAAAAAAAGGTGTCTTATTTTTAAAATGGAGAATTGAAAACCAAAGAAACAGGAGTCAAACTAAACATAAAAATCAGACAGAAACTGTTCAGATCTGCAAAAATGTTCTAAGTCAATGCACAATCTACTGAGATGTGCCAAGAAGAGCCAGCAAGTGTCATCATTCTGTCCTATGTGATTCTGTCTATATGGTTATGGCATCTGAAGCCCACTTCCTGTTCTACTTTGCCAAACACATTTCTTATAGCATTTGCATCAAACAATCTACTTTCTGAATTGTGGAACGGAATATATAGTACTCAAAAATACGAAGACTACTTTCCCAATTTCTTTTTTTTTTTTTTTTTTTTTTTTTTTTTT